CCCTCCAGTGGATGGGGAGGCTTCACTTCCACAACTCCAAACAGGAAAACTATCCCCACTGCCACGTACTTCACCTGTTTGCTTGTCAGACAGTCACCACTCTCCTCAGTGCTCAAACACCATCTAATTTTTGTGAGTTCATAACACACTTTCTGCACTATTGAGTTTGTCTGGATTCAGACCAGCGACCTACATGCAAAAGACTAAAAACAGAAGGAGGCTCTGTTCTACTAGAAATTTATTTAGCAATCAGATGAAAAACTTGGCTTCAGGGGAAAAAAAGAGCTAGATACCAGAAAGAGATGAGAAAGTCCGTCCTGGATAAAAGTAGTTCTAACTTTTAACATAAATGAAAGTGTTATTAAAGGTTTGTATATGAGTCATGCCAACTTCTATGTAGATGAGAACTGTAATCAAATGTTATTTAAGTCATTATAAATTTTGCTACTTACACAAAAGAGGAAAAAGAATGTTTTCTACTTCATTTTTCATGTTTCCCTTCATATCTTGCGTACTTATTAAAATGCAGGGTTTCAAGTACCCATAGAAAAAATACAAACGTGCAGAGAGAATAACCACTAGAAAGCAAAAAAACTAAGTCCTATAACTGGATTTAAAATAATTCAGTCTTGTCTAAAGAGTCAAATCATGTTCTTTTTCCTCCCTACATAAAAGTTGCACTCATAACAATAGAAGAAGAAAAGCACAGTTGCTTCGAAATACCAGACATAGATTTCCAGAAACAAGATAGCAACTACTCAGAAATGCTATGGAAAACACTAATCACATAGTAACTTGCTATTTACATTAAAGATAGTAGCCTTTAAAATTAATTAAAAATAAAAGCAAAAAAACCCCAGTGTTTAGCCATAGGACAGTTTTGCCTCTAATGTGGAGTCTCTGTTCTTTGCTTTTTGTCCAGCATTTCTTTCAAGATATATATCTATACATACAGATATATGTCTGAGAGAGATGTATCAAAAGGTAAAACTTAATCTGGATGGAGAGCCTGCAAATTTCATCTGAGACTACATTTGCAGTAGATAAAACCCCACAGAAAAAATGCTGGAATGACACATTTTAATGACATGATATTCCTTGTCCATGATCCACATAGGATCCATGTAGAAACATAAATGCCTCCATCTGTAGAAGCACAGCTGACAGCAGCCTTGTGAGGTCCCCAGTGCCGCCAGGCTGAAGCATCCCAGCCCTCGTGATTTCCATCCCCGCGGAGGCTGCTAAGACGGCTGCAGAGCAGGGCCCTGTGGTGGTGATGTGGAGAGCTGTCACCCTCTGTGTGGATTGCGAATGGGATACAAGTCCCTTGGCAGTCAGTGGAGGATACTCCTGTGATGCTAGTGGGAGCTGAACAAAGCCCCGGGGCAGCAGCAGGCTCCGAGGACGGGAGCACAGGGTGAGGCATCGCCAACTCTCCAGTCCAGCCCCAGCGCTTCAACCACATCTCCCGGTGAGCTCTCAGTTCTCATGAGGATCTACAAAACAAGTCACTGCTGTCGTGCCTCTTCCACGGGACGATGGCTGGACCGCACAGCAACTGTTGAGCGCTGCAGCACTTCTTATTCTTACACATGCAGGATGCTAGTGGGCCACCATCCCCAATTCCTTATTCAGAACCAGGAAAATCCAGCTGGAGGATGTACCCCTTAGCAGAGGAAAGATTGTTCTTCCAGCAGTCGCTACTCAGCTGCCTGGTCCCCATCGTAACTTGCTGAAACCAGCGCAAATTCACAGGAAAAAGAATGTCCGCATCAAGAGGCTATAAATCCTTCCTTACATATGAGAATGGTACAAGCATTTGCCTGGCATCTCTATCAAATATCGTAGAAAAGGTTACACAAAAATATTTAAATATATGGATACAGATACATAGATATTACACTTGCATAAAATATGTATATTCAAAACCCTTTGGGCAGTTTCACAGTTAGCTGAAAATGTATGCTTTAGAAATATGAACAATTTCCTACACTTTTCTAGTTTAAGTAGGTGGGGGGAGGGGAATGAAGCATCAGCCTTATTAATACTGAATGCTAAGTGCAGAAGTTTAGCTGTAGCTGTAGGGTTTTGAAGCAATTGATTTGACAGAACCTCCAAGCATAAACTCCGTTTTAAAAATCCACATCTATTCCCTAGATTGCTTATTGTTTCATGAGAATGAAAACCTACGTGTCCTGCTTGTATCAGCTAGATCTCCTGAGACCATTCAATTAAACCTTATCATTTTGCAATATTTCAAGATAGGATTGTGTATTGGGAGTACACATGAACCCTACTGCAGTATTTTTGTGTGACAATAGGAATTTATAACTTCTTGTATCTTGTATAATTTAACTTTATAAATGCAAAACCTTAAATGACACCACAAGAAGCTCACAGTTCTGGGAAACTTAAAGTCAGTATGAAATTTTACTTATAGACCACATAATTCACACAATTTACATAAATACAGAGATATTAAAATATTAAATCAAAGCTAATTAACAGAGGATAGAGGTTTACATATTTTAATTCTAGTTACATTTTTGCAACTACTTTTAGTGCCATGAGATTATATAAATAATATATATACCCATATATCCATCATATATATAAAGATATATATATCTATATCTATCTCTCCATCCTTTTTTTATTTAAAAATAGGGCAATTTTATAACTGCAATGAGATGTGACAAGCAGTACACTTCTGGGGAATTATTGCATGCCTTGAGTGCATAAGGCAGAAGGAAGAGTATCTGACTTCAGACACTAAAGAAGTGGAATCATCAACCAGAAATGCACTGGAGTGATTTGGAACATCTTATTGCTTTTATAAAACTTGAAATTATACACTGTTGGTTTTGGTTGTTTGTTTGTTTGTTTTTTTTTTTTAAAGGCACAAAATAAAGGGGAAAGTAATATCTCTCTATTTAGTGGAGATCAACAATCAGGAAGCTCCATTACTGTTCACTGAACACTCTTCATCATCCTAATCTATTCCCTGTGGTGCAATACCGTGCTGCAGTTGCATAAGAAGGTTAAACACAAAAGTTCATGCATCCTTTATTAGGGGAAACAAAACAATGCCAATTTCCTTGCCCAGCAACAATGAAGTGGTCATTAGCCTCCCATCATACTGGTGGCTAGAGTCAGCCATGGCTCCCATCAGACTGCAACATGCAAAACACCATTCGGTCCAAGGTAGGCTCGCCACACTAACCTCAGCTGGTGGAGCAGCTCCTGGAGCTGGATGATACAGTACTTGCCTAAAACGCTGGAGGCACGGATCCAAACTCAACGGCAATTTCCCATCAGACCAGGCAAGACCGGAAAGGGGTAAAACTGGGTAACAGAAACATTGCCCTAAAACCTCTGCATTTTGAGGCTATTAGAGGATTATGGAGCAATTCTACCACTCTCTTCCCTGGTTTAAATTGGTTAACGGCATTCACTCCTGCCTTACGGCCCCAGATCTCCCGGTGTGTGTGTGTCTGGGATTTTTCTAGCCTAATCACCACCCTGGGAGACAGAGCACAGCAGAGAGGGAGTAAGTGGATAAAAAATGTAAAAAACTGTGGACTATTACTAACTCCTCAGAGAACTTTGAATGCCAGGATAGAAAGAAAAAAAAAAAAAAAAAAAAAAGGAAAACCCTTGGGATCACTTTTTTTTTTTGCTGTATTTTTTTTAGATGTCAATATGCACAGTAGAGGGCTGCCTCTGCTATGAAACACGAGATGTTTCAAAGTTTGGATATGGCACTCTGTTAAGGCACCTCCAAGTAATGGTCATTGATTTAATCGCTAAGCAAAGCTGCATTTTCTGTGCCCAACACTGCTTCCTCCAACACACACAGTGCTAGCAGCCACTCACACCTGCCATCCACAGGCATAACAACTCCTGGTGCTTCCTAGGGAGAAACACCACCAGCCACTTCTGAAACAAATATTCGCCAGGATTTAGGAGTGGACATTTTGCACAACTGCATGGTTTATTCTCCAAAAGGGGAAAGGGGAGAAAATTAAGTGTTGGCTGTCCCTAACTGCCTACTAGATTAGGGGCGTTAAAAATACATATCAGCCTAGAAAAGTAGAAGCCAGCTCTGTACTGCTGCAGGATTCCTTGCTGGGAGGTAAAGCTGAAAACGCAGGAGTTCAGTGGGGGGTGCCTGGTGCAGAACTGGATTTGTTTCAGAACCAACAGGAGGTACAAGAACACCGTCCCCTGGGAGAGGACAGGCAAGTCACTGCACATCCCCTCGCCCTGCCACACAAAACAGTACTGGGCATGGGCTTCCTGGCATGGGGATTGGGGGAAGCATTTGAAGACGAAGCGAGCTGAGAGGAGAGGAAAGCTCCAGCATCACTCTGTGCAGACAGCTGGCTCCATCCCCCCAGCCAGCAGGACACTCAGCATTGCAGTTGGGGGCATGGGGCCATGGGGCCGGAGGGCGCTTGCAGTGACGCCCAACTAGGGGTGGCCATTTCTACACAAAACAATATCCAGTTCTGGAAAGGAGTGAGAGGGGTGGGACAGGGGCATAGGTCCTAGCACAAAAGGAGAGACCAGGGTGGACTGTCGCCCTGCTCTGAAGGGACAGGGGGTCCCAAGGCACCCACCAGACCTGCCTCTCCTCCCGCCACCACTCACCCATGCCCCAGCCCACACCATGCAATGCTGACTTTCTCAAGAGAGTGGGATCGTCCTGGTCCTTGGAGTAATGATGTCCAGGGAAAAGGGACCCCCCACCCCTGACCCTCTCCTCCACGGGGATGACTTGATATTTGGTAGCTGTGTGCAGCTCCTTCTCCAGTAAAAAGACACATCCTTTCCTTGCACAGGCAATGAGAAATGCAATGTGATCTGTCATGCGCTTGGATCGTGGGCTTTCTCATTCATTTGAATTAGCAATGTTTTCTTCTTCTTCGGGGACTAGAATAATCACTCAGGTATTTACAAACACCAACCAGCGCCTTCGCGAGGTCTCCCCCAAATCATCATGACAAAATCACCATCTGCAAGAGCCCCGCACCAGCTGTGTCCAAACAAGCCTGTGCTTGCTGAGAACTTGGGGTTGCTGAGGGAGAGGGGTGCTGGATCTCCGAGTCCTGGGGGGGTCTTCCCAGCCGGCTGTCTCTTCCTTGGGGTGCCTCTCCCTGCACCACCATCCCAGGGAGCTGGCTGCCGCTACTGCGGGCTGCCGCTACTGCTGCTGCAGGTACAGTGGTCCCGTTCATACTCCTCCTGTGCCTTTTGCATTTTCCGCTTCTTCATCTTCCTCTTGTGGATGTGGAAGGTGGTGAGGGAGAGGAGAATCAAGCAGAAGATGAGAGTGACCAGGACAATTAAAACCAGGGTGGATGAGAAG